AGTACTTCTCTTTGCATGGTGACTGGCAAGGAGCAGGGAAGGAGGGGAAAGGAGGGGTAGGCAGCGTGCAGACTGCTACTCCTGCTCCAGGCTCCTGCTCACTCCTCACCGGCGCGCACCTCCTACGTCCATCGTGCACCATCTGCACAGAGCCCAGACTGGGCGGGCAGGCGTGTGAGGAGGCCGGCACGGGGGCCAGAGCAGGAAGGGTCTGGTTCTTTATTCTTTAGGAAAAAGGAGATAGGAAATAAAGGAGAACGCGAAAGCGAAGAAAAAGCCTAGAGAGGAGGAAGACATGAGAGTGTAGGAGGCAGAGAGAGGTAAATGACAGAGAAGGGAGAAGCAGAGAGCTTCAAAGAGAGGCAGACAGATGCCTGGGGGAAGGTGGGGGAGGGAGAGACTGGGAAAGGGGAAGAATGCAACAAGACAAGGGATATGGAGGTAGACAAATAACAGGCCCTCAGGCGGAAATCTGGCCCAGCCAGGCAGATGTGGACCCTTTGACTGCGAGCCAGCCCAACAAAGACCTCAATTATCTGCAGAACCTGATATCCATCTGTGCGCTATCTGCTACAAACTGGGTCAGCCTCACAACGAAGGAGGTTTGGTGGGGGAGGGACAAGCCTTCTATTGTCTGATTGACACAAGCTGGGATTGGTGGTGGATGTGTTTGTGAGGGGGGGCGTTGGGGATGGTTTTCATTTGAGCCCCACTGTGAAAAGCTACCTCCTGAATTTAGCATCAAAGAAAGCAATCTCAACCACCTCCTGCTCAGCATCCATTGCTGTCTGGCACCATGCGACACCCAAGGTAAGGTGTTCAAAGCTGTGTCCTGGTGAGGCTGCCCAGGTGTAATCCAGTATCACAAGAGGGGCCAGAGGTGAGGAGCAGCAGAGGGTCATGTAGAGTCAGGCCAGGCCAGGGAGCCAAGGGGCAGAGAGCTGGGGCAAGGAGAGAGCCTGATGGGTGTCCCCATGACCAGCTGGGTCTTACCTGCCATGCGATCAGGTCCTTGAGGCGGCTCAGCTTGTCCTGGTCCTCCGGGTGCTCCCTGCTGTACTCTTCGGTGAAGAAGGCCTATGGGGAACAATGTGGGGACTTAAGATTTCCCGTTCCTCAGGTGGGACACACGATCCATCTTTCTGGTGTTGAGACAAAAGTAAGTGAGAGATGTTTCGAGGTCCCGTGCTTTGGGGTGGACCTTGCTGTAGCTGACATTGCTTTCCTTTTCTTTACTGGAGGCTCACTCGGATCAGCACGCATGGGAAGCAGGCTGCAAACCTCAGGGAAGTACTGGCAAAGTGGGGTGCCAGGACCACCACCAGCAGCTCCCCTGAAAACTGTTTTGAGCTAGAGACTTTGGGACACGTTCTCTAGTCCCAAATGGGTTCTACTGAACCAAACCCCTGGGGGCTTGAGTTGGGCACGGTTCAGGGTAGGGATCCCTGTGCTAGGGAACCTTTGAGGGATGCTGAGGCCCCTGGAGCTCATTTCTGGTGGGAGAGAGCTGAGTAAGGAACTTCCTCTGGTGCCTGTTCAAGCCTGCCCCCAAGTCTCCCTCATGGTTCCTCCATTCCTCCCTCCCCTCTTTTCAGAGTTCCCATCCCCACTGTGTGCACACTCCATGCAGACCTATTGTAGCATCTCTGCAGGCTGAGCAGAGAGATGTCAGGGTAGCTAAAAGGACTGGCTGGGTGAGGGGTGTCACTATGCCTGGCTGGTGCACACTGTGGTATTTTTGCCTTTGCACCAATGAACGGTGAGGGACAGAGAACATACAGTGAGGTTTTATAGAAAGGAGCTCATTCCTCATTCAGGGTCTGTGAACTGAAAGCTAGCTCAGGACTTCCTGTTCTGTCATGCTAGGGAAAGCCATGTCTCCCTACTGGCACACTAAGAGTCAAATAACTGATGACATTTTCTTTTGGGGCTTCTTGAAGGGAATCTGTGACTTTCATGCCTAGGTTATGCCTCTGCCAATGGAATTGGGCTCCCAGATTTCTGCATGTTCAGATTCTGGGTTTCTTTATTTCCCTGTGTCTATGTTATTTCAAATCCTCTATGGAAGAGGTGGGTTTACCAGAAGGCATGACTTGGGGCTTATGGTCAGTTATAAGTCTTTACTCAAAAGAGATGTCATAGGACTAGAGACCCTTTAAAAATCACGTCTTTCGTGTCCAGGATGGGAAGGAGACAGGAGGTCAGGTTGGAACCTAATGTCCAAACAAGCTGTGTTTATGTGGGGCCAAGCAAGAAGAGGCAAAAAGGACTAAGCTCCAAAGTCCCTCACCTTCTCGTACTTGGCAAAGCCTCCCATGACTGCAGGGTCCACGATCCCATTAAGAAGCATAGAGAGTGGGTTGATGGGAAGGCTCTCATCACTCTGGTACTGGTTTATCATCATCAGGATCTTCTCATTGGCCGTGGACATGGTTTCAATAGCATTCTCCAGAGGACTAATTGTGGTCTGTTGGAAACAAGATTGGCAGAAGAGCCTCAGTGGGTGGCCTGAGAAGCCAATATCATCATTGGTATTGATTTCACTTGGGTGGGGATTCAAAGATAACCCCTAGTCCTCATGCTGCAGCAGGATCTGAGGATAATGAGACAACTTGGGGGCTGTCTGCTGGCCAAGGACAGGCTGGCTGGCTTTCTGTTTAGAGGGAAAGGATTTCTCTGGGGAGACACAGGCAGGAAGTGCCAGGCTCTGCTCTGACTTCACAGGTTGAATGTGCCCAGAGAAGATTTCTCTCCCAGTTAACTGGCAAAGCACACGTCGACCCAACTCATCACATAATGGTTGGAAGCTATTGTGTATGCTGCTGGCCAGAGAAATCAAGATAGCTTGCTCTAGGAGCACCCAGCAGGTCCTGAGACCGAGGGCTAAAGGGAAGATAAAATGAAACTCTTACCCCACACATCTCAGAGATCAAGATAAACAGTGGTATTGAATGACAACAGACAAACACTGCAGTTTGCAGAAGCTTATGCTCCAGAGTGAAAACTAAACTAGAGGTCAGCAGACAGTTCTGCAACTGGACCAGAGAGTAAATACTTTAGGATTTGCAGGCCAAATGGGCTTAACTGAAACAACGCCACTCTGTTACTGCCGGGCAGAAGCAACAGCTGGAAAACTGGAAGGAAAAGTATGGTTATCCCAACCAGACTCTGTAGGTGTTAGGATGGGACACAGCAGTTACTCTGAGAAGGGAAGATCATTGGTGGGAAAGGGTAGACTGGAGGGAAGAGGTGAGAAATCCAAGAAACTTCTTGGAGGAAGAGAGATCAATTTATCATGTCTATCATGATGGTGACTTGGTGCCTGCCACACTGACTACGTAGTGAAGATTGATTGAGGGAATACAACACCTGATGCTGCAGAGTCCTTGAAAAATGCCTCTTGCAACTTGTACCTACTGCATGTATGAGAGGAGCAGGTCAGCCTTTGTAGCTAGTCTTAAGTTATTTCTGTAAATCCTGATCTAATACGGCTTCCCCAATCCTCGGTATGTGCTTTTGGAGATTGTGGTGGTTGGAATAAGAATGGTCCCCATAGACTCATATGTTTGGGTAGGATTAGGAGGTGTGGCCTTGAAATGTACCACCAGGGGAGGGTTTTGAGGTTTCAAAAGTCAACAGTATTCCAGTCAACTCTTTCTCTCTGCCTCCAAGTTGAAGAGCAGGATGTAAGCTCTTAGCTACTGATCCACGGTGGTGTGTTCCTCTGCCATGTTTCCCACCCATGGTGGTCATGAGGGCTTAACCTCTGAAACCATGATTCCAAGTAAAGGTTTCCTTCATAAGCTGCCTTGGTCATGATGTCTCTTCACGGCAATAGAAAAGTAATAAGACAGAGATGGAAGCCCTTGGGAACAGATTCTCTATTACTACCTATCACTGTCTTCCTAATACTATCCAATACCCTCAGTATAATTCAGCATCATGCTACCGCAACTACATACATGTGGCAATTTGTAAGAGAAAGGGGTTTGTTTTGTTAATTGAGACCAGGCAGTTGTCTTGGTTTGGGCCTCAGGTGAAGGCACTAGATGGCAGCGGTGGGAGGGTATGTCAGTGCAGACTGTCACATCATCCTTACCCTAAGAATGTCCCCAAGGCACTGCCTTTGAAAGGTTCATGGTACCTACAAATAGCACTATTTTGGGGACACGATCTGTATTCATGTTATAGTTCCCACATCTGCATACACACAGCCACATTGACCCACATGTACATATATAAACACACAGGGTATGAGCTGGAGGGGATACTGCTTGGCCTACTGCCTAAAACTGAGATCCTTGTCTGAGTTTGTGTCCTACATATAAATCAGCTCTGGGGAGCTTTACAAGGCGGAGGTCCAGAATGACTTGGAAGGAAAATCCACCACTCAGCTGAGGAGCGGAGCAGTTCATCTGGTTGCTAACAACAGCCAAGGTGCCTGGTATACACAGGCTTGGAGGCATGTCACTAGAAATGGTAAGGCATACTGGCCGGCTTGCCTACACACTTTTGAGACTATTCCTGGATTCCCATACCAGCTTGTCATCACTTTGACAAAATACTGCCATTAGGAACAGCCATCAGTAACAGACACTTAGAGCAAAACAGCTTTGTTTCTTCACAGATGGGTACATGCACAGCTCTGAGTGGAACTTGGGGTGTTGCATGTGGAGGGAGGCATGGCTGTCCATGGCGGATAGGAGAAATCAAAAGCAAACCAGCCATCCACACAAGGAGACAATGGAGATGGTTCCATCGACAGTCACCTTACCAGTCAGTGCATGCTCTCAAGAATGGGTGAAGTGATGCCCTATGGTGGTGTGGATGAGAATGACCCCCATGGGCTCAGGAATTGGATCAGTTGGTCTCCAGTTGGTGGTGCTGTTTGGGAAGGTGCTGTGGACTTTCTAGAGGAAGTATATACGACATGGGGTGGGCTTTAAGAGTTTTTAGTCTTTGCCTCCTTCAAACTCGTTCTCTCTGCTTCCTGTTTATAGCTGAAGATGTAAGCTCTGGGCTTCCTGCTCCTGCCTCCCTGTCGCCCACCATTGCCATTGGTCCCCACCGTGACGGACTCTTCTCCCTGGAACCTTACAAGCAAAATAAACTCTCTCTCCTCCAAGTTGCTTTTTTTTTTGGCCATGGTGTTTAATCACAGTAGTAGAAAGGTAACTAATAATACACATGCCCAAGGGCAGTAGTTGCCAGAGTTGGAGAGGGAAACTGGGCTGTTCTTGGTTGCAAAGGCTGGCTTCTATGACAAGCACATCAGACGATGTCACCAAATCTGCCATCAGCTTCCTGTTGGGACTTCATTAGGCCCTCAGCTCTTTGGCATCTTTGCTGAGCTGAGCCTCAGTTTCTATGCACATCACAGGCAAAATAACTTGTGTTCAACTTGCTGTGAAGGAAAAGTGAGCTCCTAAGGCAAAATGTCGTGTGAGTAAGCATGACAGTGAGTGGGAAGGGTCAGTGACTTCCATTCCCAGCAAGTTGGCAGCCTTTCCAGGTGCTCTAGCACCTCCCACCCAGGAGTCCCAGAAGCTGCATGGGGCAGGCATCAATGACTGTCATCAATTTGACAGTTCAAGTTCTCCACTGGCCTCAATTTCCTCCTATGTAAAATAGTGCACTAGACCGGAATCAAGAAAGCACTTGGAGAATAGCAGGCCATGGTGGCCAGCAGAGGTCTGTCGCTCAGCAAGCACTGGCTAAGATTCCCCCAACGTTAACTCATTAGGGGGAGAGCTGGCTGCATGCATTTGCTTCAGCATCTGCCAGTCACTAGTAGCCTAATGTGACATTCTGTTTCTTTTATCTTATAGGAGTTGGAAGATAAATATTTGAGTTTATAGCTTTAGGATCCAATGGCTTTTGGCATCCATTACAGCTCTGATATCCCATATTTTGTAGATCTTATTCTGTAAACTAAGTATGAAGAGAAATATAATGACCCTCCAATAACACTCTGTCATTTATGGCCTAGCTGAATTGTTCTATTCTTAGATTAGGGCTGAGAACAAGGTAAAGTCCTCAACAAATAGGCAGGACTTTTCCTGAAAGCCCACCTAAGACATTCCTCTAGACATGGCACCACATGAGGGAAAAAAAAACAGGGAATAAGAGAGAGGTTCGCATAACGAAAATGAATGCTTACAATGTGGCCACTTAGCAAGGCACTAAACCTCTGTGTCTGAGATATCCTGAAGTTTGATGATAATGGAGGCCAGTAAGAACAAATACACTACGGCAATCCTTAGAGATGTTTTTACAAAACTTCTTACAAGAAGTTTTGTTTGCATTCTTATGACAACATACAACACACAACACACACACACATACACTCAAAGCACACATACATATACACACTCACAAGCACACATACATATACACACTCACAAGCACACATACATACACACTTATAAGCACACATACATAAACACACACACCAACACACATACACACACCAGCACACATGCACACACATACACACATCAGCACACATACACATGCACACACAAGCACACACACACAACAAGGGAAGGAATAACTTGCTCTGGCTCACAGTTTCAGAAGGCCCAGTCTATCATGGAGGAGACATGATGGAACAGCTTACAATACAGAAGACAAGAAGCAGAAAGAGGGCACGCTGACACTGGCCTGGGTCCCTCCCTCCTTTATTCTATCCCCAAAATGTGGGGTGGCTCCACTTACATCCAGCATTAGTTAATCTCTCTGGAAGTAGTATCATAGACACATCTCTTAGGCAATTCAAATTCACAACCAAAATTAACCATCACAGGAGCTAACAACATGAAAGAGGGAATTAAAAAAAAAGTCTGCTGTTCCCCTGATTTCAGAATTTTGAAGTGAAAATGTAAGGTAACTATTTAGGCTCAAAGGGTACCAGCACGGTAATTACCTACTTGATTTACTTACACATTCTTGAGAAGAATTACAGGCCGGAGGCTGTTCTTGACACTTGGAGTACTTTGGGGAGAAGATAACAGACAAAGCATCTGCTTCCTGGAATTTATATTGCAGTGGAATCTATACTCCAACATTATATTTAATATTTGGTTAATAAATACTGAAAATAAGCACTCAGAAAATTGTGTAGTCTATTAGGAAGTGTAAAGAACTTTGAGGAGAAAAGGGACAGTAAGGGACACAGGGACACAGGAGGGGCTCCCTCAGTTTACTACAGTCCAGTGGGCATGGCTGGAGAAGAGGTGACTTGTGGAGCCAACCCAGGAATGGGCTTAGGCCGGGCTAATGGGCTATGAAAAAGCTGGAAAATTCCCTCCTCAAGAGCAGGGCTAGTAATGGTCCAGTCATCCTTCAGTACCCATGGTTATTTGGCTCTGGGACCCTCTGAGAATACCAAAATCCACAATGTACAAGTTTCTTCTACAGCATGGCGCAATACTTTCCCATCATCCACACGATCTCCCATAGACCTTCAATCCTCTCTAGACTACTTACATCCTAATGCAAGGCGAATGTCACATAAATGGTTATTTTAGCGATTGTTCGGTAAATAACAAGAAAATATGTCCTTACATATTCTGTTCAGATGCAATTTTCCCCCAAATACTTCCAGTTTGTAGTCAGTTGTTCTATGTATGTGGGACCTGTGAATACACCTTCCAGGGTTTTGTGGTATTATATACAGTAAGGTGGTAAAGCCTTTGGTACCTATCACATGTTAACATGTCCCTGTACCAAGAGCACATTATTTGCTTCCTTTCAAGGATACTGCCCACTAGGATGGATGGGACACTCTGAGACGGAGCACTATCCACACCCAAAGGATATTACGAGAGTTTGAAGTCAAACTTGACCTCTTCCACTAACCTTGATAACTTAATAACTCACTCTGTGCCCCAGCATCCCCATCTATAAGTGGGAAAAACTGAAGTTTCAGGAGTTTAAATGAGATCATGGCAGTGGACAGTTTAGCACATGTTCAATAAATATTTCTTGCAGACATAATTATCATTCTGTTTTCCCAAGGCCTAGGACATGCCTGTGAAATGGAGCTTGCAGGACGATTAATCTACAGACTCACTAAAGAGGGCATGGAGACCAGAGTAAGATATCTTAATGCTGACAAAACAGTAGCTTGAAACCTCAGTCAGACTGTATGCCTCCTTTGTACAGGACTCTGTGTCACTTACAGAGAATCCAAAGTATCCCTAAGGTTCCATATGACCTGGGATCTGATTTCTATTACCCTTTGCTATTCTGATTTGGACATGATCTGGCGCCAGGGCCTCTGTGTCAGCTGCATGCTCTGTTAAAAGCCCATCTCTTCAGCCAGGCATGGTGATGCACACTTTTAATCCCAGCATTTGGGAGGCAAAGGCAGGTGGATCTCTGAGTTCAAGGTCAGTTTGGTCTACAAAATGAGTTCCAGGACAGCCAGGGCTACACAGAGAAACCCTGTCTCAAACAAAACTAAAAGAAAAACAGAAGACAACCACCACCACCACCAAAAACAGGGAAGGAAAGGAAAGAAGAAAGGGGGGGGGAAAGAAAGGAAGAAGGAAGGAAAGAAAGAGGCCCATCTCTTCAATATCTCATGGAATATTCTTCTCTGCCCCAGGGCCTTTGTTCAAAGCCATTTGATGGGGAGGCTCCCTCTGACTCGGCTATCTAAAATGGTTACACTTCCTCCTTTTAGCCTTCACTCATGATGATCACCATCTGACATTTTGTGTTTACTTTAACTTTTTAGTCTTTCTCTCCCCCTCTACTAGAATGGAAGCTGCACCATGGGATCCATGTCTCATAACAGTGTGTGACATTTGTTAGGCATCCATGAAATCTTGAATGAATTAAAAAAATAAGATACCTCAAATATAGCCCCACCTATAAGTGTTCTCACAACTGTGCTGGCCTGTCCTGAGGATCTTGGGAACTGCATGGCCCTTAGCTAACAGAGAACATGGAGACTATAAGGTGTGCTAAAAAAGTAAATTATCTGTGCTGGAGCTCCTGGAATAGCTCCAGTGGGCAAATTAAGCCTGACTCTGAGTTCAACCCCAGGAACACACAGAGTGGAAAGAAAGAATAGACTCCTGAAAGTTGTCCTCTGGCACACAGACACATATACAGACACAGACACACACACACACACACACACACACACACACACACCAGCATTCATATACATGTACAGGAAAATAGAGCAAGTATGCAAACATAACAAAATACACATCTGCTACCTATACAAGAGAGCTCAGACTTCTGGATTCCAGTCACCTCTGGCTCTCTGATGTTTCATCTTTCAGCTTCAGTCTATCCCAAATAGAAAATGGTTCACTTTGGAATACTACAGAATGTCATACTGTAGTCCTGGGTCTGGATGGAGAACTTTGAAGGGGTAACTTGGTGTAGTCTTCCAGAGCCTTCTTCTTCTGTTAGCCTTCCTCACAGTCCCTGCCCAAAGATGTTCTACTGATCCCATTACTGCTGTCCAGAGAGCCTTTTATTTACTGGGGACAAAAGCTACTTAGTGTTAAAGCACAAAACAAAACAAAACAAAACAAAGAATCGTAGCAGCAGATGCCTTGGGTGCTGCCTACTCTGGGATTCCTATAGGACTGTAACAAACCGTCCCATTTATAAAGTCAAAGAGGCCCCTTGAGGCTCTGTGCCCTGCCTGTAGGAGAGGGATGAGGAGAGGGACCGCCTTGGTGTCCTGAAACTCACCTGAGCCATGTGAACCACCTCAAACCAGCGCAGGATGCCGGGCAGCTTGTATGCGGTCAGGAAGGATGTCCTTTCAATCCACATGGACTGGGGAAGGAGAACAACAGTAATAAAATCTGCTACTCCAGGCCCTGGTGGCCTCCCGTGCACCCAAGGGAGAAGAAGTGCTCAGTTCCCAGATACCAGTGATACCTCCCCTTGAGCAATTCTCAACAGTTGTTTTATCTCTCTCTGGACTTAGGCCAAGATAGTTCTACCTGGTTTTACTAACAGACTGGACTCTTAATTAGTTTTTGAATGTGTCCATTTGTGTTATCTAGGGGAGGAGGCCACAGTGTTCATTAGATCCCCAAAAGGATGTTAATTCTTAAAAATATTAAGAATCACAGGCTGAAAGCTGAGGGG